GAGAGAATTTCTTGTATTGATTAAGATTGAAATTGTAAGGGGGTGTCTTCACCTACAAAAGAAGAGGAATGTTGTAATGGGTTTTATCTTCACCCATTGAAAGAGATTGAGATCGTGAAAGAGAAGCTCATTGGAGGAGGCAGAAGAGATGACGTTGGCCATTGTGGTTAAGGCCAAACCTCTATAAATCTTATTTGTCTTTCTTTTTCCCTACTACTTACTTACTTCATCCATATTATATAGCTTATCATACAAAATATCTTCTCTATCATATCATTGTTTAAATTGCATCATCATTATGAATCAAAGAAAATAAATATTTGTCATTAACTCAGACAACCTAATTCACCCTCTCTTTCAAGCAAATTATGTAAATATATATATCATAAAAACCTTTTGTTTCGAGAAGGGAGAGAAATGATGTGGATCTTCTCTCGCGATTATACACATGGAGCGCATGACACTACCTAAAGAGGGGGGGGATAGGTATTTCGATTTTTAGCATAATCAATTACAAATTAAAATCTAACTCTATCTCAATTAGCTCTTCTAACTTGAATTTAGCAATTAATGGTGAGAACCCATTTTAGTCACCACGACCCAATGAACCTATGAAGATTGGTGTTATTAATTGTTCAATTAATTCATTCAAACACTCAATCTCATGCAATTCCAAAATCCAAATGCAACTATGGATGAAATAAATATCAATCAATCATTTATACAAACACATACTGTGCATGGGTGCAAACAATCATAAGTGTATAAACATAAGCAATAAAGAACATAAGTATTTGTTGACGTGGAAAACACTTTTTGAGAAAAAATTGTAGGGAACCTTCTCGTTTCACCAAAATCTAATCCACTACACCAAAGTTAACATGTAAGGACTTGAGTGTTATATCTCAACTAATATCATGGTTAGATACTCCATTCCTTCAATATATCTTTCCTCCAAAGGATCTCCTCTGACGTTATGTATAGCATCAATTGGATTCACTTCTGCAAAAGATTCTCTAAAGGTAGCCTTGAGTCTTAGGAATCTATAGTTGTGGTGGAACTTTTTTAGGTAGCAGATGAGTTTTTATTCTCAAAAGGATTACAAGAGGCTTACCATAGCTGAAGAAAAGACACGCTTTATTTACAGGTTTGGACTGAGTATATTCTTGATTAACAAAAAAACTTAGATTCGCGAACAACTACTCGATCGATGGGAAGGTGGCCATATAACAATGGTCACGAGAATGAAAATTGTATTTTTAACCGACCTAGGAGAGTAAACCACTTGAGCGACTTTGGAGACTGCTCGAGTGACCTTAGAGATTGCTCAAGCGACCCCAGAGGGCAAGCCATATTCTCTTTCATTTGACATTTTTTATTTTTCTTCCGTAAGTCATAAAGAGACCACTCTAGCGAATGTTGACGAGCATAGAGTGATCCCTACTAATTTTTTAAGTTTAAAACAAAGCAAATGACTTATCCTCTTGAGCACTAAAGGATGTTGCTCAAAAGGTGTCTGCTAATGGTTCAAACTATGTTTTCAAAATATAAAATTGTTTAGAAAATCTTTTCATTTAAAAACACCCAAAAGTCATACACGGATTAATAATCTCTAATCCTATTTTAACTCTAATCCTCCTAAGTCTATTAAACCAAGAAATCATCTTAGGACTTTAGGTCATTACATTTGTCCTTAGCTTGAAAGTGCATACGTAGTGTGAATGATATAGTTTTGATGTTTGATCCCCCTCCCCCCCCCCCCCCTTGCGGGGAATGACGATTTCAAATCTTCAATTTTATAGCATCATAACGATGGAATAGGTTGAAATTTACAATGAACTCTAAAAAATTAACCAATTACAAATATATATCTAACAACAATAATGAAGTCCACCAAGTACTTATTATTCAAGTGTTCGTACACCATAAGGATAACTATAATCCAAAGCATAATCTAAAGATATGTCAATGAATTATTTGACCTTCAAAGCTTTTAAATTCTAGCATATTTAATACAAAACATCAAGTCATCATTAAAACCTTTCTAACAAGCTCTAATTCAATATCTGCATTTTGGACATGGTCCTTTCTAAAGCTGGTATTGCACATTAAGCTTCAAGTGATCATATTATACAAGTGGACAATATCAACATAGCCTAATTAGTCTAGAGGAGACTAAACACCAAGGACATTCAATGTCTAAGGTCAAGATATTTGATATCCTATCAAGGCGCCAGTCCAAGTATCACCCTTAAATTCCAAATTCACATATGTTGTAGTTTAATATAAAATGACATACATGATATGTGCTTAAATATCTAGCATCATAAAAACACCATGAAGTATGTTACCTTTGTGTGTAAGAGCAACACTACGAACCTCACAAAAATGCAAGTCATATATGATTAAGAATATTAATTCAAGTCATGCTTAAATCCTTTTGAATTCTAGATATAAAGTGTATCTTAAAGAAGATAGTTAATAAGTGTTATATTAAATACATAACTACTCGTAGGCCTTGATTTTGTCCTCTCATCAATCAAGCTTAAACTATCTTAAAAATTCTGAAGTTCTGGATAAAGAATTCGGAATTCTGAATGCAAATCAGAAAGACCACCAAAACTCTCTAAAAAATCATGAAACCTTCCAGAAACCCTTCCGGATGTGTTCATTAGAGCCTCTAATGGCTACTTTTGGGCCACCTTCCCTTATGCATTTGCCTCCACTATAAAAATGCATTGTGAGGCTTGAAGAAGGAAGACTTTTTGAGGCTATGAATGCGTTACAAAATTATTGAAGAGTGCTATGAATGGTGATGATCTTGCAATTGAGATATTATGGTTGGGGTCAAACCTCTATAAATCTTGTTTATTTTCTTCTTCCCTATTACTTACTTACATCCATATTACATAGCTTATCATATACGTTATCTTTTTCTATCATATCATTGTTTAAATTGCATCATTAGTATGAATCAAAGAAAATATAAATTTTTCTACAACCAAATTCACTCTCCTCTTAGGTTGTATTGAGTCAACACACCTCTCCCCGTTGCCTTAAACTAAGGAACCACCATTGCCAAGAATCTCCACCGCCAGCATCAGCCCTTGCCCACCCCCAATGTCACACAGTTGCCCCTACCCCACCAATAAATACAGTGAAACATCCCTAAACCACTAGCCTAGCCCCACCCCACCCTAGTACTGCCTCAAACAAAAATTGAAAAACCAGAAATCAAAACAAGAAGAAAAGGAAGCATACCTTGCATCGCCAAGAGCTGGGGTTGATGAAGAAGATAATAGCTACTAAGGGCTTTATATAGCCACACACTAGACCTCAGGGTCCTTTCTTTTACAGTGGATCGAGTTGAGATGAGAGAAGAATTTACTCTGTAATTCATCCCTAGCCACTCTTTTCTATCCAAACTAGAGGAGAGGTGACTTTTCCTTCCAAAATTTTCGTCGCCCACTGTAGAAGATTGGGTCAGGGGTTGGGATGTTATTTGGTTAGATAGGAGAGTTAATTAGGAATAGAAGGGTCTTTTTCCAACAATATCCTAGGTTAGCTAATTTTATACCTACCCCCGGGTTTGTTGAAGCCCATATACATGGATTTTACCTCAATTGTTCATTACGGGCAGTATTTCAATCTCATGCCTTAGATCTGTAACCAAATATGGAATGTGATGATCTGTTGGACTATTTTTATTAAACTCACTCTTGCATACTCTCCCAAACCCATTGCACAAAAAGGCCCTTGAACATTATTTAAGTGTCTGGTAGTTTGACCTTCGCACATACTCTATTTCGCAATTGCATTTCCTCACTTTGGGAAATGTAAGTAATTTGGGACAAATAATTCCAAAAAAAGAAGTTAGAGGACTGCCCTAAAGTTTATTAAAGATATGCATGGTTTGGGAGCCTATATATTCTGCTGTGTACTAGGACTTGGTAAAGACTTTCTCAATATTTTCTAGAATTCTTTGTTAGTTTTAGCATCACTTATAAACTCTAACAAAGTGACACAGGGAAATGGCTAAAAATAAGAGTTTAATGAACAAAAAAAGAATAATGAAAATAAACCTTGATTTACACACAAATATCGGTCTAGATTCCTACTCTAGACCCTGTTGGTTCAAAAAAAAATACCAGTGTCTAAAGGCTTCAATAAATCTGTTATTTTCCAAGAATACCAAAAAGATTGAAAAAAAAAAAGAGACAATTTTCTCAATTATACTTAATCATCAAAAAGCTCTTTTGCCCTAAGGCTTACAAAATAGTAGTAAAAACTCTAATACCAACTAACATAGGGAAACATGTAGAAATAATAGTATAATAAATGAAAAGAGGTAATGAAGATAAATTATTTATTTGTGCATAAATACCTGTTTAGATTTCTACTCTAGACCAATTGATTCACAAAGAATATTAATTATAACTATAGCTAATAGTCGAACGAGTTCAAGTTGAGTTCGAGCAAAACTTGAAAAACTTGTTTCTTAATCGAGTTTAAAAAATTATTCAAGTTTGGCTCGTTTAGGAAACAAGCCGAGCCTGAACGAGTCGAACCCGAACTGAGCCCAAGTATTTGCACATAAACGAGTCGAACCTGTTGAGTTTGAGGCGAACTTGTAAGACTTGTTTTTTAAACGAGCCTAAAAACTTGTTCAAGTTTTAGCTCATTTAAAAATCGAATCGAGCCTGAACGAGTCGAATTCGAGCCGAACTCAAATCAAACTCGAGTAGTTTAGCTTGATTAACAGTCATAATTCTAACACTTCAATAACTCAATTGATTCTTAAGAATAAGAGAGCAATTGGAAAGAAAATAAACAACTCTTTTAATTGTATTTAATAATCAAAAGTTGTTTAACCCTTACATGACTATAAATAAATTATACTGAAAATCTAAACCGAAACTAGGATCCTAATAAAATTAGGAAACCAAAAAAATAAAATAACATAATTTTCTACTTAAAATAGGAAATAAAATAAAATCGTCCAAAATTCCATAATAGAATGACATTGTCCACATTCAATAAAATACCAAAAATCTTGCCACTCATTTGCATCACAAAGTCTTGTAAGCATTCTAAGAGCGATTACTTTTCCACTACTTCTGGTGTTTTCTAAATAGGAAACACAATTTTGTTACAATCTATCATGAAAGAAGCCATCAAACGAAATGGGAAAGGGAGGAAGACATGAGGAGTGAATACCATCACTTTACCGTAAATGAATACCTTGGCTAAATGCCTTCTATGATGGAAGAAGTGCAATTTTGTACCTAGGCTACTAGTCCAAAAAAATTAAAAGGAAAAACCAGACATGAACAAATTAAACTCTGCCAAGCAAAAACACCCACAAGCTGCAACAAAATAGGGTACAAATTATAATCACTGACCATCTTCTCTGATCTCTTGGACAAAAGCCTTGAGAGTTTTGTTCGAAGATCCACCTTCATTCACTGCTTCCCTCGCCAAATCTTTCCATCTCCGAGCATTTCTCCTCATTTCTTCTCCTCTTTCTCCACCTCCCATAACCATCTCTATACATTGCTTAAGCTCATCACCCTTGACAGTTCCTTCTCCATTTGGCTTCACCCTCACCCCCGTCTTCCACATATCTTCAATCATTTTTGCGTTGGTCGTCTGATCAGACCAATGAGGAAACGCCACCACCGGAACCCCAGTAATCAAACTCTCCAATGTAGAATTCCACCCACAATGTGTGACAAAAGATCCCAGTGAGGGGTGTGATAATACCTCCAGTTGAGAACACCATGGCACTACCATCCCTTGTTGCTCCAATTCCTCCATGCAACTTAGTTTATCTTCTTCTCTCTCCTCTTCTCCATTCTGCTTCGCTCTAACTACCCACAAAAATGGCCTGCAACTCTCTAACAACCCTCGTGCGATCTCTTCCATTTGCCTCTTTGGTAGAGACAAACGGCTTCCAAACGATATATAAACAACCGATGATTTAGGCTTCGAGTCCAACCACTCGGTATATGCGTTTGATTTGTCAAAAAGGTCACCCCCAAAAGAAGTGTCTGATGGGTCTTTTCCATCTAAGAAGGCAGAAGGAATTAGCGGCCCAATCCCAATCAAATTGTACTTATCGATGACTTTTAAGGCCTCTGGTTCTAGTGAATCGAAAGAGTTAACAAGAACTGTTGGGTTGGTTTCTTCATCTAGTGTTTCAACATGCTCTTTAAATGATTGGAGAGTATTGAATATGTCTGAGTTTGCAGGAAGTATAAAGGAGGGAAGGTCGTGGCTTTTTACCAATGGCAATCCTGGTAACTCAATTGACCATGATGGGTCTTCGCAATTTTCGACATTGATAGCAAAACAGCCATTAAAGTAATAGTAGTATATATCCAAAACTGTGGCTGATTGAATCCAAAGAAGTGCAGCTGAGATATGAAACTCACGCGCCACCACTGCAGCCCAAGGGAGGAGGAGGCTGTAGACCAAACAGGTGATCGGACGACCTTCATTGCCACTAGCGTTGATGATTTCCCTGAGAGTTTGTGATCCACGGTTCCTGATCTCTGACATGTATTTTTTGGGATCAAAATCACTTCGTTTGATACCATCATCATAGCCGTCGGAGAAGGTGGCGAAGTTGAAACCCTTTGGTGGTCCAGTGGTTTTGGTCATGCGGCGGTGGGCGGAGAGGCTGGTGACGAAAGTGACCTCCACGCCCATCTGAATGAGTCGCTTGGCGAATTGGAGAGAAGGGTTGATGTGGCCTTGTGCCGGAAACGTTACAAAAAGGATGTGGCAGTGCACCATGGCGGCGGCGCGTCGTGTCTCTTTAGTCTAATGTACAACAAAGATAGTCTGTGTAAGGAATTTGTGGGTTGGAATTGAAAGAGATTTGCACGCAACTAGTGCAAGGGGGCCTTAACATTTTATGGGGATGAGAGTTGGACTCTCTGACGTTTGAGACGACGACTTTGAGAACAGCGTGTAAGGTTGTAACCCTTTGGGCGTTAATTTCAGACCATTGAATTCGTGGTCCATCACCTTTTTTAAATAGAACCACTAATTCAATGGTACTCCTATAATACAATGGTTCCCTCGATTTATAATGTAAATTTGAGTTATAAATTTAAAATACATATTATTTTTCTTATAATAGAAATAATGCTATATAATTTAAATTTGTAACACAAATATGCATCTCAAATCAAAGAGGACCATTGAATTAATGGGTTTCATCAACTTTTTTAAATGGAATCTATTGATCCAATGATCCTCCTTGATTTGAAATGCAAATTTGGGTTATAAATTTTGGATACATATCATTACTCTTATAATAGAAGTGGGCGTCGATTTACAGGACATTGACGTTTTTGTCCAGGTGACGATGCTTCGATTTTTGCTGAGTATTATATAATTTTAATTTATTTTATTTTATGTTTAACTGGTATGATGTTTATTAAATATCTTCCGCTTAGGTTGACACACTTAATCCTTGAACTCGAAATCAAAAATTCGAATATGTTTCTTTGTGAACAAAACCAATTTCTTACGGGTCTTCTATGAACTAAGAATTCAACTTGATTCATATGCTTGCAAAACTAAGTAAAAAATTTCTAATTATACAAGAATTCATACAATATTAGACTAAGAAATAGAGGGGGGGGGGGGGGGAAATCATCAATGATTGTTTTCAATCTATAGCTGCTAAACGGATTTATTTTGTCACATAATGTAATTATTTAATAAAAACATTATAAGTGAGCAATGGATCTCATATAATTTAATAACTACTTAGGTAATATAATAACTACGTCATGTAAGACAATGAGATTCATTTCACTCAATTTAGTATGCTCTTACTGCATGGTAACATCACGTGATATTGTTGATCTCACTTAAAAAATGTTGATGTTTAGTTAAGAAAAAATTTGTCGGTAAAAGTATAAAATTCGTTGTAAAAAACTTTTGGTGACAAATTTTTTTCGCCACCAATTTGTAGCGATAGGCTAAGTTTTGCGAGGCAAAATTTGGAATTTGTCGCCAAAACTTTTTTTTTGGCAACAAAATATATATTCGCTGCAAAGATTAAACTTTCGATGACAGATATGTCATTGCTAAAAGTGCATATGTTTGTCGCAATACATTGAAGTTCGTCACAGAAAAGCTATAGAAATTTTTGTTTATGACTTTCTATGACAACTTATATTCGTCGCCAAAAGTGTTCAAGACTTTTAGCAGTATTTGCCGCCTACAATCCCTTATTTTAAATTTTCACATTTGAAAATTGTCAAAAAAAAAATTACCAAAATTATAAAACATCAATATCCATAGAGGCAAGACCAAGAAGTTCGTTGAATGCACTTTTATTCAATTAAAACAATATCTCGCCAATACAATCATCCTCATTTAAATAACTTTATATTGTGTCTAATACATGAAATATTAATTATCTACATCTATAATAAAAAAAGAAGTACAAAATTAGGTCCACAACTTCGTTGTATCTTTGGTGCCCCAATATCTAACGCATCTGAGATTCAGCATAACATTTCCAATTCCTCATGTCATCAACATTTGATGTAGTAATATCACTTCATAAATAATTCCTGTACTCTTTAGAAAAAGGATGAGGCTCAAAGTTTATCCCGCTCAGCTTTATTTGCCTCCAAAGCCTCCAAGCAACTGTAAAAAAGAATTGGAAAAAGATACTATAATGGAAAGAACTAAATTAAGAAATTTCAAGACCAAGTAGAGTCGTAATCATTAAACTTGATTTTGAGTGCTTACTCAGCCAAATCAGTGGTGAAGCTATAGATTAGATGAGCCTTCATCCGTGATGATACATTCTACAATCAAATAACGATATTTCAAACAATATAAAGACTCATTCTAATAATTAGAGGTCAAATTCTAAAATAGAACTAAAATTGAACGACATGGGAAAGGAGTGGGGGCAACAGACCTTGTTTTTTAAGATCTCCATTACCATTTTCCTGAAAAGAATGGTAGGACCACAATACCAACAAAACTATATAGAGTTGTTAATTATGTAGGGTTATTTAAATAACCATGAAGTGAAATATAATTAAACAAGCGAATTCCCTATATAACAAACATACAATGAAAACATGGGATAAGTCATGGAGTACTCGGAGGTAGAGAGAAATAATTACCTTGAAAGAACCAAAGGTATAAGAACTTCCAACCTCTAGGCTTAAAAATTGCAACTATTCTCCACTCTTTCAGTCTTTTATTTTCCACTGGTTCTAAATCAATAGGAAAATATTTTTGATCCAACTACATGATTAGAAGTGAACAGATAATGAATTTAGCAATACCATATAAAGTTGAGCATTGCCATTTCTAATTACACACATCGAAGTAAATTGATAGTGCTACGCGGAGGCAAATTCCTGAAATAAGAAACTTTGACATACCTAATCAAGAGAAATTGAAATTTGTTGCTTATGTTGAACACAATAATACATGAGAGCAAGATAGCAAGGAATAATACCTGCAAGCCTTTAGCTAGGACTAGACCGTGAAATATTTTGGAAGATCTCTAATCACTTCAGTTAAAGCTAAACTTGAAAACCAATTCTAGTTATAACATTAGATCAAACAATAGAGCCACAACTCTTGTATTAATAAATAAAAGATAAGGTATATAAAAAATAAATAAAAGATAAAGTACATAACAATAATATTTGACAAGAACACATAAATCTGTGCGACATTTGACAAAAGGTAAATAACCATGCTTCTTTTGGGTTATATAGGAGTAATGATCTCACCAAGAACACAAAAACACAGAATAATCTAGCAAACAATGATAGAAAAAAAAAAAAAAAAAAACTGCAGCAACTATCACAAATATTCACTCCAAAAGACCAATATTTCATCACAAACTTCAATACAAATCAAGCAAATACAAAAGGGAATAAATTTGCTACTGTGCATAGAATTTCAGTTCCTATGGTATACCAATAATCCATTTTTTGTGGCCCTAAGGTAATAAATAACGAAAAAAAAAAGCCCAAAAGAATGAGCGACCTTGGTTCCCAACCCCCTTGAAACCCTAGGTTCTGGTCCTCAATCAACCAACCAATCTTCTTCATCTCACCTTCCACCCAACCATCTCCTCTAGCGTTCCTCCCTCCTTCTTTCTCTGTTCCGTTTTACCCTGTTTCGTTTGCTCTATCTTTGCCCTAAATTCCCCAATTTCGATCTGAATTCGGCTTCAATCGGCCTTTCTCGTTCCGTGTCTTCACTCCATCTCTTCCCACCCATCGTGTCTTCAGTAGGTTATTTGTTCCTCATCTACTCATGGGTGATTGTTCTAATGGTCCTTCCATTGGGGGTTCTGATACAGATCGAGAAGGCATTGTCACTACTGAAAGTGGCAAATTGAAGAAAGCTGCTTCACAGCAGGAGCCACTCATTACATCTACCATAACCAAGGGACCTATCAAGGCCAACTTGGAAAAGGGGAGAAGTGGTCCGCGTGGTGGTAAGGATTTTGGTTCTGTAGGTGGTGACATTCGTACACCTTGGAACCAAATTTTGAGCTCTGGCAAATCCTCTAATACAGCAGAACAAATGAAGCTCAGATATATTGAGCCTATCAAACGTGATTCCAGGATTATTGTATAACCTCCCCAAGAAGTAGCTACTCAAGGTAGCAAGGATTGACAAACCTGCTTGGTGGGTTATTTCATCAAGAAAAAACTTCCTTTTTCTACTGAGTTTTCTAGCTCATAAGATGTGGGATAAAATGGGCTTGTTAGAAGTTTATGCTAATGACAGTGGGTTCTTTTTCTTCAAATTCATGGATGAGGAGGCAAGAGTCAAAGTGGTGAAAGATGGTCCATGGCTCTTCTCTGGGAGACCTTTGATCTTGAAGAAATGGTTTACTAGTTTCAGGATGGCTAAGGAGGACCATTCTGTTCTTCCTTTTTGGGTCAAACTGCATAATGTTCCCCTTCAATTTTGGAGTGAGAAAGGCATCAGTCATTTGGCCAGTGTTGTAGGTTAACCATTATATGCTGACACCCTTACCTCCACTAAAAAGAGGATTAGTTTCGCGCGTGTTTGTGTGGAGGTTCATGCAGTTGAGCAACTGGTCAATTCCTTTGATTTGGATTTGGACTCTGGGGATTCGAGTGAATCAATTGAGATCAAAGTTGAGTACCAATGGAAGCCTAAGCAATGTCTTCAATGTAAGATCTTTGGGCATAACAATTCCTCTTGTCCCAGACAAACTCAGTCCAGTTGTGAGAAGCAACATACAAAATTCAAAAACAAAGGGAAAGCCATTTCTTCCACGGTTATTATTGATCCACCTATGATTGTGAGCGAGCCTCGAGTTGACTGTTCTATTAATATTCCAGGATCTAGCTTTGTGGACCTTATGCATTCAGAGGATCCTCCTTTAAAGGAAAATGTGGTAACTTTTATCTTTGTTATTGATAATTCTGTTGATGTGTGCCCTGCACCCATTTCCCCAAACAAATTTGGTTGTCTGGATTTGCAAGGTGGTCAACTTGTGGTGGATATCTCCCCTAAAGTTGTTGAAAAGCCAGAGGGGTCCTATAAGATTCCCAAATCCCCTAGAAAGCTGCTTGGTAAAGTCAAGAAGAAGAAAGGAAAGAACAAAAAAATCAAGGGTGGAAGTAAGGAGACTCCCTTTTGCCCCTCTATCTCTAAGTCTCCATGTTGAACATCGCTTGTTGGAACATTAGGGGCTTGAACAACCCCATCAAACAACAAGAAATAAGGAAAATCATCAGCAATCAACAACTTGTTATGATTAGCATTGTGGAAACAAAACTAAACCTGTAAATAAGGATTGTGTTTTGAGGAATGTTTTTAGGCAGTGGAACTCCACTTCCAACTATAGTAGTCACCCTTTTGGTAGAATTTGGGTTGGGTGGAACCCAAATGTTTTGAAGGTGAATAAAATTACTGAAACTGATCAGCTTATCTTATGCAATGTACAATCCATTGATGGTATTTTTGATTTCTATGTGGCTTTTGTGTATGGGGCAAATGATGACCAGGAAAGAAGAGACTTTTGGTTGACCTCAAGTATTTTGCTCTCACTATTGCTCCTATCCCTTAGCTTGTTTTGGGAGACTTTAATTTTGTTAGAGGAGTTCATGAATCTGTGGGGTGTTCTGGGAGAAGAACTATTGCCATGGAGGATTTTGATGAAGGCTTACAAAGTGTTGCGCTTGAAGACCTAAGGTTTTCTGGGCATTTTCTCACCTGGTGTAACAATAGACATAACTGTGGCATTGTTTGGAGGAAACTGGATAGAGCTCTTGTCAATGAATATTGACTCCAAAATTTCAAGTTTCTGAAGCTGTGTTCTTGCCTCCTGGAATTTCTGATCACAGCCCAATTTTAGTGAGGATTGGCCCCCAGAAAGTTAAAGGTAGATACTCATTCAAATTCTTCAATTTTTGGCCTGAAAGGGAGAACTTTATTCACATTATTGCACAAGTTTGGAGAGTGGAGGTTCATGGAACTCTACAATACCAAGTGTGCACCAAACTTAAGAAACTCAAAGTTACTCTTAAGTTATTAGGGAAGGAGTTTGGGGATGTGTCTATGAGAACTAATGAGGCCAGAGAGGAACTTGTTAATTATCAAAACCAGCTGGTTCTTGACCCTCTCAACACCACACTTAAAAAGCAGGAGGAAGTCCATATGCTCAAGTTCACTAAAGCCACCAGAGAAGAAGAAAGCTTCTATAGATAAAAATCTAGAGTCAAGTGGTTACAAGAAGGGGATAACAACACTGCTTATTTTTTCAAGTCACTTACCAACAAAAGAAACAGGAAAAAAATCAAGTCGCTAAGAAGATTTGATGGGTCTCTTGCTTGTAATGAATCTGAGGTGAAGAAGGAAGTCGATGATTACTACGTCCAACTTCTTGGGGGTTCTTTCCCAACTATGAATTCTTTTGACTGGAAGGTCCTATTGAGCAGGGTTATTCATAACAAGATTTCAACCGAGCAAACTCTTTCTCTGTCAAGAGATATCACTCCTATTGAAGTTAGAGATGTTTTCTTTTCTTTCAATGATAACAAAGTTCTTGGTCCCGATGGCTTCAATGGGTGTTTCTACAAGAAAGCTTGGCCGGTCATAGGTCAAGATATCACAAGTGCTATTATGGAATTCTTCTCCTCTGGCAGGCTCCTCAAGGAATTCAACACAACAATTATTGCTCTTGTCCCAAAGGTCCCTAATCCCACATCTGTTGGGGATTTCAGACCTATCTCATGCTATAACATTTTTTATAAGGCTATTGCTAAGATCATTGCAAATAGGATCAAGGTGGTTTTGTGGAATATAGTTGGTAACAACCAAGCTGCTTTTATGCCTGGGAGTAGGATTGGGGATAATATCCTTCTCACCAAAGAAATTTTGAGGAACTACCGTAAGAATAATGGGACTCCCAGATGTGCTGTTAAGGTTGACCTCATGAAGGCTTATGACACTTTGAACTGGGATTTCCTTCGTGATATTTTGGAGACCTTCAATTTTCCCCCTTATTCTTAGAACCTGGATCAAAGCCTGCATCTCTACCCCCAAATTCTCTATTAACCTTAATGGTGAATTGGTTGGTTTCTTCTCCAGTTCTAGAGGCATTAGACAGGGGGACCCCCTTTCTCCTTATCTCTTTGTTATGGACATGGAAGTTCTCACTCTCATCAATCATCATCTTATCTCCACATGTCAGGGTTTTAAATTCCACTGGAGATGCTAAAAGATTAAACTAACCCAACTTACTTTTGCTGATGACCTCTTTCTTTTTTGTTTTGGGGATTTCAGGTCTGCTAGCTACTTAAAAAAGGCTTCGACTTGTTCCAGCATATGTCGGGCCTTCAAGCTAATCCCAGGAAGAGTAATATTTTTTTGTCTTCTGCCAGCAATGAGGTGAGGGCCTCCATTAAGACGGTTTTTCGGTTTGAGGAGGGGGATTTGCCTATCGAATATTTGGGTCTACCCCTTATTTCTTCGAGACTTAAAGCTGCCCATTGTTATCCCCTTCTTGAGAAAACGGAAGCTAGATTCAGTAGCTGGACCAATCGAAGTTTGTCTTATGCAGGAAGGCTCCAATTGATTCATTCTGTGTTGTTTAGTTTATAGCTTCACTGGGCTACTCATCTGAAACTTTCCCAACAACTTCTTGATAGGGTTGAACAACTTTTAAGAAGATTCCTGTGGAAGGGTACTGAGCTCATCAATTATGGTGCTAAGGTTGCTTGGAGTGATGTATGTAAGCCTAAAGGGGAGGGAGGTTTAGGTATCAAGAACCTGAGGCAGTTTAATGATGCTTTAATGCTCAAGTATTTATGGAAACTCTTTACAGACAAGCAAAATATATGGTGCATATGGATTCATTCTTATCATTTATATGGTAAAAGTTTATGGGAGGCAAAGCGGTCACAGTCTAGTTCCTGGAATTGGGTCCAAATGCTCAAACTCAAGGACCTCATCAAACCTCACATGGTGCATATTATAGGGAATGGTTCTAATACTTCCCTATGGTTTGACAACTGGCACCCAAGTAGGCCTTTACTTGGTGCATGGGACCAGCACATCTTTAACACATCAAAACTTCCGAAGGATGCTAAAGTGTCTATAATCATAGATAACAATCATTGGGCATGACCGGTGGGTAGATCTAGGATATTGGATGGCCTTAGTTGCTCTATGCCCAATTATTCACCAGATTCTACAAAGGAAGACTTTATCAAATGGACCCCCAAGTCGGATGGCAAATTCACCACTGAATCTGCATGGAACATCATTAGGACCTTGAACCCTAAAGTACCTTGGTACAATCTGGTCTGGCATGGACATCTTATTCCTAGAATGAGTCTCATTCTTTGGTTGGCTATCAAAAATAGATTAAGTACAAAGGATAGGATCTCCTCTTATGCTCCACAGGTGGACTCCTCTTGCTCCTTATGTCATCAACTCCCAAAATCTCACAACCATATGTTCTTTGAGTGCTCCTATGCTTTTGGTATTTGGACTCGGCTGTTGCAGCAATGTCTCCAGCTTCCTCGAGTTGTTCAATGAAATGTCTTCATTGCCTGGGCAAGTGATAATTGGAAAGGAAAATCATTGAAGGTTGTTCTTCTCAAGCTCTATCTCTCCGTCACTGTTTACAACTTATGGAGGGAGAGGAATGATAGGATTTTTAATAATCGGGTTACATCTCAACAAAATTTGTTTTTCAGAATTCAGTCAACTATCAGAGGAAGACTTTCTCTTCTTAAATTCAAGGCTAATCCTCAGAATCTGCTCTTGGTGCATCATTGGAACCTCTCCTCTATTCTTGTGTGAGTATTTATATGCTCTGCTTTCGCCCTGGTATGGGTTGTTGTTCTGTTGTTGATCTGTTGCGGGTGGCTGTGCTGTGGCTTGGGGCTGTTTGCGCATCTCTGTGGTTCCCACTGTTTTTCTCTGCTTTTTGGTCACTTCTCTGGCCTTCTTGCAGAGCGGGGTTTTTGCTAGCTGGATTGTTTCCTGATCGTTCTAATTGTTGATACCTGGTGCATTTTTTTTCTGTTCAGTCGACTGTTCAGCATTTGCTGGTCTTTCTAGTGCTAGAAGTTGTTCCCAGTTGGCAATTT